CCTCTGGTAAAAATATCCTAAGAGGCACCTGCCCAGGGTCATGGGGCACAAGGAATCATAACAGGCTTGGTGCATTGGCACAATTGGTTTGTCGTCCTCTTACATATGGGCACCAGTTTGTGTGCCAGCTGCTCCACTTCCCATCCAGCTCTTTGCTGATTGACCTGGGAAAGCAGTGGAGGATGGCCCAAAGCCTTGGAGCCCTGCACTCATGTGGGAGACACAGAAGAAGCTCCTAGCTCCTGGGTTCAGATTGGCGCAGCTCTGGCCATTGCAGCCCCTTGGGAAGAGATAGAAGATCTTTCTCTCTGTCTCTCCTTCTCTCTGTGGAGCTGCCTTTCCAATAAAAATAAATAAATCTTAAAAAAAAAAAAGAAATGAAACTTCACTTAGGTCTTCTTACCCTGTGCCACTTCTCAACCAAGCAGAGTCACACAGCAAGTCTGCCAGCAAGGGTTCCCGCAGTCTCTTTTTTTCCTGGCCTGCTCCCCGGGGGAGCTTACAGGAAGCTGCTGAGGATGGACGGAAGCAACGCCGAAGGCAGACTAGAGGGACAAGGAAGGCATTGCATTCCAGAAAACAGGAATGGCATGGACAAAGGCCGGAGGCTAGGGACAGACGGGACTCAGAGCCCTCCGACCACCTGCTGGGGGACACAGGAGGCCCATGGAATGCGGAGCCTGAGATGCAGCCTCAGGCACTGGGCATTTCTCCAGCGCTCACGAGCTCCCGGTGCTGTGTTTGCTTGGAGGTCTAGAGAGCAATGGCAGTGACAAGGAAGCCTTTGAACACACAGCTTGCCGTATGAGCCACTGGGAAGTGCTGGGTATAGGGTGAGCATACAGTAAGCCTTGGTGACATGCATGAATGAGTGAATCAATGAGGGGATGGCTCAGGGAGAACCAGGGTGCCCACGCTGAGGCAGAGGATTCTAATCCTTGCAGGGAAGCCCCAGATGGGGGTCTATGAGTCTTGCCATTTCAGTGAAAGATGAGTGTGGTTCCAGGGTTGTGGTCTCAGCCAAGAGACACTTGGTGGGGAGAGTTTAATCAAGGGTTTCCACAGTGCATGGAGTTGAGCAAGCAGAGGAGAGACAGGGCAGGGTTGCCTGGAGCTAGAGAAGGGGAGGCAGGAAGAAAGCCAACCTGGGCAGGGACAGAGCCACGGTGTTGCCCAACAGCCCTGGAATGTGAGCCTTTGGACTCGCAAGCGCCCTGGGTCAGAGGGCAGATCGTGACCTTCGGCCGGCTCGGAACTGCAGGCTGCCCGCCAGGCCCTCCAAGGAGGGGAGCCGCAGCCGAGCACGCAAGCAATGAGTGGTGCGGCTCTGCAGGGCACCTAGCAAACCCACTCTGGTGGACGCGGGGGCTGAGGGGCCTGCTCGGTGGGTACGAGCAGGGTGTAGGCATGAGCCAGCCACCCGTGTCTGCCACGCAGTGCTGCTGGCCAGTTGTTGGGGTGCTGTCCACCCCACTCAGACCTGCCATGTTTCTTTTGTGACTCCTCTCCCCAACCAGGGAGTTGGGTCTCAGCGGGTACCCAGAACAGCCACACCGTCCACCCTGGTGGAGAGCAATTCCAGCTCCATGTCACTCAGGCTGGTGAGGTGAGGATGAGCCCCAGGTGCTCACGGGCACTTGTTGTCCATTCCTGCGGAAGGGCATGATACCTAACACCCAGATTCAGGTTACCGGCCAAGTTCAAGCCCTGGGGAATCCACTGGAACAGGGCCCCTCACCAAACTCTAGACCTGATTTCACATTCCCCAGTGTATATTCATTTTCTTCTCGAGGACCCAAACTTCTGTCTCTGTCCCTGTCCGCTACCAAAGTACACAAAGTTCGGGCCTCACTAACAGCAGACCCATCACTGGCTCCTGACTTTGAAAACTCTCATGATGGAGGTGGGGTTCACAGGCCTTCATGCCAAACCTCAGGCCAGGTCCTTCGCCTGGTAGCTTTGGGAGTTGGGGTTGCAGAGAGGGGGTTGTCCAGCTCAGCGCAGCCATCTTGCCAAAGCTTGGGGCAGCTGGACTTGGGGTATAGGCTGAAGGAGACAGCTGGCAATGGAAAATGCCAGCTACGTCATCCTGGGAAATGGGGCCCGCAAGTGTGAATGCATGAGATCTAATTACACCTCTAATTGTGTCCCCAAGGCCCGCTGGAAGGACATCTGGTAATGACCCTTGGTTGACTGCTGGCTAGAAGTGGGTACTATGGACATCAAACACCACCAGATGCAGCGCTTGAAAAGGGTGGACTTCATGGTATGCGAACCTGATCTCCTTGGATAAAGGATGCCGAGCACTCAGTTGCTGTGGTGTTCTTCGCAGGTGTTAGAGCCAGCCTGGCGGGCCTGGGACAGCAGTGCTAGGGTCTCTCAACAACTGCCAGGCACGGCCGGGGGGCACGGGGTGTGAGTGTAGCTTGAGCAGGTCCTTTCTTGTGCCAGCAGTCAGAGCAGTGCTGCACACATGAGCCTTGTCCAGCTTGGGGGGCGGTCAGATGACTTTGGCTATCTCTGGGTGAGGCCCAGAACCCCATTCACTGACTTGGCACATTTTCACCAAGCTCTCTGAGTTGGCACATGCTCAAGCCAGAGGAAAGGTTAACCATTAACCAGGAGGTGAGAGAGCAGGGAGCCTGGAGCAGCTGGACCCCCTCGGAGCTAGGCTCCAGCCCTGCTGGCGGTGGCATCGGGCAAGGAAAGGGCGCAGGCAGGTCAGGGCTGTCCCCTCCAACAGGAATTTGTCCTCCAAAGGGGCCACGCAGGCTCTGGCCCCGCTCCTCCCCTTCACAGCAGTCTGGACACATGGGCCAAACAGTGCCCTTCCCCAGGGCCTGCCCAATCTCCCCACAGTAGTGGCTCCAGTAGTTCCGGGATTCGGTTAGGCTTCGTTTCAAAGTACACTGAGCCATCTGCTTACCCGTGGTGACCACGTGGCCTCGCAGCCCCCAGGGCCCTTGCAGTGGCTCCAGCCAGAACATACTGCCGACTCACACCTTCCTCTGGGACCCACAGCTGGGCACACAGGTGCACAACGGCACACACACACACACACACACCTGTGAGGACTCGGGCTGGGCGTGCTGAGAGGCCCACGGCTGGGCACACACACACACACACACACACACACACACACACACACACCTGTGAGGACTCGGGCTGGGTGTGCTGAAGTTTATCGGAGTACACCTGAAGGTGACTCTTGACAGACTAGACTCTGGATTCTTTGATCTGAGATGCATTTCCTGGGTTCTTGGTGCATAAGTTGCATTGGCCAGGTATCTCTTTGCTGACCCATTCTTGGAAACTCCCTGGCACAGGTACTGCTTTTAGTCATGGACACCATCTCAGCAAATATAGCCACAGGCCGGCTGGCCCACTAAGGAGGCTTGGGCAAGGAGCCTCAGGGTTTACTGTGCTTCCAGGGACCAGGCCTGCATCCCAGGTGAGCGGCCTATCCAGGGTGGAGACCCCAGCCCAAGGTTCAGCAGGAGGAAGGCAGGCTGGAGGCTGGCCGGGGGCTGCTCTGTGGACTCTGCATTGGGTTGCCTGCAGGATCCTACCCGGCCATCTCTGCACTCAGTGGGGCCATGGCCAGTGGCCAAGTTGTTGGGGAAAGCCCCTGGATGCCTCTTCCCATGATTCTGCCTGCTAAACTCCATTCATGTGGGCACAACACCTCAGGAAGACATCTCCAGAACGCAAGTGGAGTGACTACTCAGTGCCCTCACCACCCACACAGCCATGGGGGGAGGGCAACTCCAGGGCAGTGCCAGTTGTGTATTGCTTCCTGATGCTTCCTGCCCAGCTTCCCCACCACCAGTCCCTGTCCTGGCTGGAAACCTGGCTGACACACACCTGTAGAAGCACAGGCTGTTATCTACTCTAAGAACAAACCCAGTGGAAAATAGCTCTGTCTTCTTTGTTTTTAAGCTTTGTTTATTTTTATTGGAAAGTCAGATATACAGAGAAGAGGAGAGATACAGAGGAAGATCTTCCATCCGCTGACTCACTCCCCAAGTGATCGCCACAACCAGAGCTGAGCTTATCCGAAGCCAGGAGCCAGGAGCTTCTTCCAGGTCCCCCACACAGGTGTAGGGTCCCCAGGCTTTGGGCTGTCCTCAACTGCTTTCCCAGGCCACAAGCAGAGAGCTGGATGGGAAGTGGGGCTGCTAGGATTGGAATCGGTGCCTATATGGGATCCTGGGGCATTCAAGGCAAGGACTTTAGCCACTAGGCCACTGTGTTGGGCCCCAGCTTTCTCTTCTTTGAGTTGACATATGTTTAGCATAAGGAAGGGGTGAGGAGGCATGTCCATGAGCAGCCCATGCACTTGGCCACCCTCTGCATGCCCAGGCTGAAGGCACGCAGAGCACCTGCTCCACGAGACGGTTCAACACATACAAGGCTTCCGGTGTGCTGGGTGGGAGGACGGAAGGGAAGGACATGGAATGGCGAGTAGTGAGCAGCCGGTGAGGTCCAGCAAAGGGATCGGCACAGGCTGACTTTGGGAGACTCCTGCCACTCTCCCCAGCCCTAGGGGATGTCCTTTCAAAGTGGGGAAAAACAACAGCCTCTCTCTCAGGCAGCCACGCCAGAGTCCTTGGGTCCTTGAAGTGATGGGACGATGAGGTGGCTGATCTCCCTCCCCTTCCCCTCAACTGCAATTTTCAATATTTCACGTCACGTCGAATCCTTTTTTTAAAAATTTTTTATTAAAATACTGTTATACCCAGTGGAATGCAGCACCAGTCCTGGCCCGGGTGGCATAACAAAACAGCCAGGGTTACATATTAAATATTTATGATAACTTAAAACATATAGACACACACCATGGTCTTTGGCAGAAAATTGTTCACAGCACAAAAAAAAAAATACTTTAAAAAGAAATACCAAATATTAATCCAAAATATATTAAGTTGTTGTGTTTTTTTTTTTACTTTCACAATATTTTTTTGCCTTTTTTTTCTTTTTTTTTTTTTTTTTCCTTTTGGCTTTGTAAACAATGCACATGAACCAAATGCAGTTTTCAGCTTTCAACAGAAGGGTAGGGAAGTTTAAAAAAATATGCAATTGTCCAGCAAATGCAAATGTTTAAAAAAGGAAACTCAAGGAGCCATGGAGATAAAACATATATAGGACTTAAAAACAGCAAAGGAAATAAACAAAGATTCAAGAAGTCAAAACAGTACAAGACAGAACTGCTAACACACACCCACTGCTCAGGGCTTCGGTCACTGTTCCCGCTGGTTGGCCCCCCCAGGGGGGCGCTGCCCCCCAAAGTCCACAGGGGGCTGGCCATAGCTGGAGGAGCCAGCCTCATGGGTGCCATTTCGTGACAGGAGACTCCATTCCGAGGATTCTTGGAGTCACAGCTCTCAACTAGTTTCCAATCACTCCTGCTCCCACTCCCAGGTCGGGGGACGAGACAGTCTCTCCTAGCCTCTCCCGGGGCCTGGGAGAGCTTGGAGGCGCATGGTTCAGGTGAGGGCATGGCAGCCGATGGCCTGGCGCAGGCGGTGGCCCTTCCACCTGGCTCAGTGTTTACAGCCGAGCTCCTGGCATGTCTCCGCACAGGCAGCCGGCGACAGGCAGCCCACAGCCGCTGGAGAGCAGCCTCAAGGCAGAGGAGGAGGAAGAGGCGGCACAAATCAGAAATCCGTGGGTTACGAACTTGAGCAGAGGAAAGACCCCCGAGAACAGCCAGGGTTTGGGAACAGTGGCCACCAAGGCAGCCGAGCGCAGTGGGACCCACGGAGGTGCTCTCTGCTCCAAGGGTGAGATCTCACAGTCTGCACACTGGCCCTTGGCCTACTGTTGTGGACCGCCTCCCCTCCAGGCCACACACTGCGGCTTCCATAAGGCTCAGGCTCAAGGGTTCCCTCAAAGGTTCAAGTCTGAGCCATCCCAGGGAAGTGTGAGGAACCAAGGGCAGAGGAGGTCGGCTGGGGCCAGAGCTTGACAGGGCTGACTTCACCATCGATGCGGTTTCCTCTGGGTGTCTCTAGGCAGCCACCTTGAAATCAGCTTCCCAAACCAACCTCTGCCCTCCTGATCCTGCAGGAGTGCCAGTCTTGCTAGAGGAAGACTTAGCTTGCCTTCGGAGTTTTCCATTGCTGCCCCAGCCCAGCAGCAAGCCTGGGGCAGCAGGGCAGGGCTGGCTCACCGTCCTCCTGGGGCCTTGAGGTCCTCCTGGATGCTCACACTCTCAGATCTGTCCGGGTGCAGGCAGATGACGGCTGGCGGGGAGCCGTAGTGGGGGGCTGCTGGAATGGTGAGAACCGCAGAAAGCAGAGGAGGGGTGGGGGACGCGGCTCAGGGTCCCCCGAGGCACCACTTCCTTCAGATCAGTATCTCGACCATGTCACACAGGTCCTGACCTCTGGATGCAGCCACGGTGTCTGGGGAGAGACAAGGACACAACACATGCTAGGTCCAGATGGCTCCTGCAGAGTCCTGGCTCATTTTAAGGAAGGCTCTTTCATCCCGAACTTTTGCAAGCCCCGTGGCCCAAGCAGCCACATTCCCATGAACTCAGCTAACCACACACAGCCCTCTCTACGCCCTCATCCCTCAGCCAAGCCCTGAAGACCTACTCCCTAACATGGCCGCCGGATTGGCGTCTCTCTCTGACCTGGCGGCAGGGAGCCCCGGCAGAGGCCCCAGGCAGGAAGGCAGCCCCGCATTCCTCCCGTGCCTGTGGTTTGCTGAGATCATGAGGCCCAGGCAAATATGCAAAGGCGAGTGTGAACGGGAAGCCAAAAGGAAGGAAAAAAAGAGAGAAATGGCCTCTTCTTCAGTTTGTTTCCCCTCCACAAGTCTTCTAACCGGAGAGTGCCAGCAGGGTCATTTGTTAAACTCTGCCATCTCAGATACCCATCCTGGACACTATACATGGCAGAGAGACCACGAAAGCAGCACCAGAACCCCCTGTCAGGGTTTCTAATTCCTCTGCTCAGGAACCAACCAGCCCTCCTACCCACAGCTGAGTGCCCGCACCCTGCCCACTCCAGAATCTAGAGCCATACCTAAAGAGGCTGCCCTCTGGCCGCTGCCGCACCCCACCAGGCTGTCAGGTTCCGGTGTCGGGCAGGCAGGGGTGCTGTCCGGCAGGCTGTCCGTCTGGGTGCACCCATCCTTGCTCCCATGTTTGGCGTGGGTAGGGAGGGGAGAGGCAGCCACCAGCTCCTCCACGGCTGGCCTATCTGCTGGAAAGGCAGAGGCTGGTGGTGAATGCTCTTGGCCCACTGATGTGGCTCCGAAAAGGAACAGCCTAAGCTCACCGCACCCACTGGGGACTTACTGCTCTAGAACCCCAATAATTGCAATGAAGCTGTGGGGGGCAAAGTCTGGCTGCTCATGCTCAGACCAACCCTAAGATGGGGAAAGAAACCCCCTTCCCCACTGCACCTGCCCACCTCCGCTCACCTGTAGCCAGCCTGGCGGGGGCATCTGCTGGCTGCTCACTAGGCGAGAGCCCTGGCCAGCCCATGGTCCCCATGGCCGCAGCTGCAAAGATGGATGGCACTGACTTGGCAGGCCGCAGGGAACCCGGGGTGGCCTTGCCGGGCTCTTTCCTGGAGCGCTGCTGCAGGACTTTGATGACAGCGTCCTTCTCCAGGATCTGGGCGTGGAGCACTTTCAACCTGAGGGAACAGAGCCACGAGCACTTGCTTGGTCAGCCCCGTGGAGCCAGCACCACATCTCCCATCTCCCGCGCCTGCAGTGGCCCCTCTGCTAGCAGGGCCTGTGGTGGCCTTCCCAGATGGAGAGCTGGCAAAGCTGGTTTAAGCACACACTTCTCCTTCCGACCCAGCTTCCTGTGAGCGTGCTTGGGAGGCGGCAGACAACAGCTCAAGTTCCCAAATTCCTACCATTCAGGCAGGAGAGTTCCTGATGGGAGGTTTTGGTTTCTGGCTTTGGCATTTGGCCTCTGTCTCTCCCTCCCTCTCTTTTCTTCTGCCTTTCACATAAATACACCAATCTTAAAAAAAAAAAAAAAAAAAGGCAACACTTGGAGCTCTCATCACAGTTTTGGAATTCAGTGTTCTTAGAGCCCAGGCACTGCAAAACTACCGGAACATGAGGCACTAGGCCGTCTCACATCAGCAAAGGCAGGATGCTAAGGGGAAGGTTCTAGAAGGATCTGAACCACACACAGCCCTTGTCCCACTGGGCAGTACTCCAGAATGGGTGGGGAACAGCCTAGAGGTTGGATGGCAAGCAACACCTCTGCAGCCTGGCATGACTTAGGAGTGGGTGGTGGGCATTTCTGGGAAGTGGAGTGTTTACAACCCCCATGGGTAAATAACAGGGCCAGTGTTGTGGCACACAGGTAAAGTCTCCACTTGTGGTGCCGGCATCCCACATGGGTGCCAGTTCAAGGTTCAGTTGCTCAATGTCCAGTCCAACTACCTGCTGGAGTGCCTGGGAGGGCGGCAGAAGATGGCTCAAGTGCTTGGGTCCCTGCACGCACAGTGGAGACCCAGAAGAAGCTCCTGCCTTCATTTCGATCAGCCCAGCTCTGGCCACTGTGCCATTGGGGGGAGTGAACCAGCAGACAGAAAATCTGTCTCCCTCTCTCTGTATAACTACCTTTCAATTTTAAAAGAATTAAAACAAACAAACAAACAACACAAAAAAACCCTGGGGTCAGCCCAAAGCAGGCAGGACAGCTGAACTTTATGGCGACAGGGGCCTGTTTGCCAGGGATCGAAGACTGGACATCACCACCCCCTGCCCCTGACCTCACGTGCCACCCGCTTGGCCTGCAATGCCAAACCTGCTTTCCATCTCCTGGTGCCTGTGGCCGCCGGCGAGCAGGCCCTCGTTGAAGCTGCTGCTGGGTGAGGGCTGGGGGGAGTGCCGGATGAGAGTGGTATCGCGCTGGGCGGCGGCCGTAGCAGCTGCGTCCATGGCAAATTGCCTCATAGCCCTCTCCTCCAGAAACTTCTGTTCCCACTTGGTCATGTCGGCCTCCAGTGCCAAGATCTGCTCCTCTTTCTCCCGCAGCTGCTCCGACAGCCGCAGGGCACTGAGCTCCTGGGCCCCAGTGCCACCATTGCCACTGCCGGAGGTGCCTGCTTGTCTCTGCAAATCAAGAGGCACCAAGGTTATAGGGGGCCATGCTGGGTGGTGACAGCACAGGCCCTCCACCGCCCACAGGACTCCGGCTGCCGCACGGGTTTGTACAGAGAGGGGCTAGGTGTGGGTATCTGTGCATCTGCCCCGAATCCTGGGCCAGGAGCGTGAGCACCGTCACAGACCACACAGAAATGGTCCTTGCAACGGGGACAGGACACCATCAAAGATCAACCAGAAGAGGACTGGGCAAAGCAGGCAGCACTACCCTGGGTAGGGAGGGAGAGAGGCCGGAAGCGGGGTATCTGGTCTGTAAGCAGCAAAATGAGGAGAGTCTCAGAACCTAGTGCCCGCCTTCTCCACAAGCCTGCGAGGGCAGCCAAGGGTGAGCCTTGCGTTCCTTCTCCCACTCCTGCAGCTGGGCAGGGGCCAGGCAGTTAGTGCTGGTGAACGAGAGGGACGTGGAGGCAAAGACCCTCACCTTTGCTTTCCACGGCACCCCAGCCTAGCTTAGCTCCTCCAAGCCGAGTCAGGGAGGAGTTTGGGGGAGGCGGCAACCGCAGATGCCACTTCCATGCTGTCCGCTCACCTGCTGCGCGCGCAGGGCCTTGAGTTCCTGCTCCAGGCGTGTGCGCAGCCGCAGCTCCAGCTGCTCGCGCTTCTCGCAGGCCGCCTGCAGCTGCCCCAGCGCCTGCTGCAGTCGCTCCACCTTGTCCACGTACGCCTGCTTCTTGCGCAGCTCCTCCTCAGCGCGGGCCGCCCGGGCCTGAGCGTTGCCCAGCGCCTGCTCCAGCAGCTCCGCCCGCCGCCGCTGGTCCTCCATGGCGCCGCGCAGCAGCGCTGTCTCCCGCTCCGCCTTCTCCTGTTCTTGTTGCTGCTCGTAGCCTGCAGGCAGACATGGGCTCCGTCAGCCTCTCGTGACCCTCCTGGCTGGTCCTCGCCAAGCTCTGTGCTGCCCACTGGAGCGACACAACTGCCACTCCAGGAGTTGGGTACCCTTACTATCCCGTTTCACCGGACAGTAAACTGAGGCTTGATTTAAGCCAGATCTTGGTGCCAGAACCTTTGCAGTAATCGCTAGGTTGTACTGTTTCCCGTGCCATGAGTGTGTCCCACCTGTGCCATGCGTCACCAGGTCCCAAACATTCAAAATTCCTCTTTAGTCCCGTAATCGAGCACAGAGCAGCCAGGCGGGGGCCCTGACATCTTTTTATAGATGAGAGGGGCAAGGCTCAGTCATCCGTCAAGTGGGGCAGTGAGCACAGGCCAGGGGAACCTGCCCCTGGACCCGGCCCCACAAGCCTGCATTTACACACGTCTTATTCCACAGAAACCTCTAGCTCACCAAGGTCAACAAGCGACCCCTACTTCCAGAAGGCGAGAGATGCAACCTGGCGGGAACCTGGGCTTTGGGGCCAGACCGCTGCCAACCTTGGCACAAGACCCCTGCACCTCCTGCCCCTCTCGCTGCTCAGTGGCCTCGGGGTTCATTTCGCAGACCCAGGCCCCTCTCCTGAGACCACCAAGATGTTTACAGATTCCCAAAAGCCAAGCAGGGAAAGGGCCCTGATGCAAAGATGTGTGATTGGGGGTCTCGCCACCCTGACTATGACATCATCGTGTGCAGTCTGCAGAGACCTCTCCGAGGCTGGGTCCTGGAGGCTCAAGCCCACCTCCATGCGTCCCCCACAACAGCCCGTCTGTTTCAGACCAGTCCTGGCCAAGAGAAAATCCCTCCTCCGGGCTCCTAGTGAGATCCCAGGCACTGCCTCTGAGCAGCACCCTGACCCGGCTGAATTTCCGGCCAACGCGGCACCTATGGCTTCGGGCACTGTTTCAGGCAGATGGGAGAAGGGAAGGCTTAGTCCCACTAGCTTTGCCCGAGTTTTCGTCTTTGGGCCATGTGTGGCTGAGGGCGTATTATACAGGACCACAGTACAACTTCCGGGCTAGAAGGCCAAGGGTTTATGACCCTGCACCAGGAAGCCAAGGAGGCACTGACAGGCGCCTGGGGCAGATCTAGCACATGGAGCCAATCCAGGCCAGTTCTTGGCTCCCTCGGGACCTCCGAAGGCTGGTAGAGGGGCCTCCTTCTCCTGTGTGGGCTCCACAGCCCTATAGTATGCACCGCCCCAGGCCTGTCCCAAAGGCTGTGGCCGAGGGCTGCACACCTGCCGGGCAGCAGACCCAGATGGCAGGGCTGCGCTGCTCTTCGAGTGCTGACCCCAGAGAACAAGGAGAGAACCCCGAGGCCCTCTGGGGTGGCTCCTACTGCCAGGAATTGCTGCCTAGGGCCACTTCCAGAAGCTTCCTACTGCCTTGGACAACCCCTAAGGCCCTTGTGGTAGCTGGGAGGCTCAAGTCTTAGCCCTCTCCAGCCAGTGGGACCTTGATAAGGGCAATAGGCTGGTGGTGGTAGGGTGTGGTGAGCCCCCCAGTGGGAGGGCAGGGCTAGGGGGAGGAGGGCCAGTAGGACTGCAGACACCATGGCAGGGCAGGAATGTGCTTCTGTCCCCTCTGTGTCCCCTCTGTGTCCTCCCACCCCCTCCGCAGCTCGTGGCCAGGGCTTCGGCGCGGCAGGGTGGAGCAGCCAAGGGGCGGAACAGCCAGCTCTGGAATGCCAGGCATCCAGGTCACCCGCGGCTGCCAGAGTAATGGCTCCAGCCAGCAGCCAAGAACGGCCTGGCTGGCTCCCTGGGGAGCGGAAACGCCTCCCGGCGGCCTCCCACCCCCCAAAGCAGCCTCCAGAAACCTGGCCGGGGACTTCTTTCCTTGGGCAGGCCCCCTAAAGTCCTGTACTTCCTCACAAGAGACCCCCAAAAAGGGTTTTCCCAGCAGCCTGACCCCTCCAAGATCCACGGCTCCTTTCCCCATCTCAGCCCACAGCACCGGCCTAGCTGGCTCCTGTCCAGTCCCTCCAGGCCCCTGCCCTGGACTTTGAACCACACAGCCAAGGATCTGTCTCAAGCTGCCCTTCCACCTGTGTGACTCCTGCTGGGAGCACCACAGACTTCAGTCTTCCCTGTGGGCCCCTTCCTCCGTGCCACCCTTCCCACATACCACCCAATGCCTCCTCTTTTGAGTTCACCCAGCCTCTAGTCCTAGGATCACCCCCCACTTCCTGCCATCCTCTTCCTGTGTGTGGAAGCTTATACCTGCACAGCCCACCCCCTGTCTCTTGACCTCCAGGCCAAATCCGGGGGTTTGTTCTCACTCTGCTAAAACACCCACCTGGTGCTTGGCACAGTTGTGCTAGTGGACACATGTGAGTGAATGAATGGACCAGTTCATGGACTCACTCACTTTGTAGGGGTGCTTGGCTTCCCACCCCTGCCCTGCACAGAAGTTTCTAGAGCTTCTTCTTTAGCCTCTGCTCATTGCAAAAGCATTAGGCGTCCCTTCTAGCCTCTCTCCTAGTTTCCACCATTCCTATCAGATGCCTGCCACTTCCTTGTTCCCAGAATCCCCTGAAGTTCTCTCAGGATCCCCTCCCCTCTTCCTTCAGCTTCCAGCTGCCTGGTGCACCCGTGTGGTTGGCCAGCACAGGTCTCAGGGCCACCATTCCCTAGCTTCCCAGTAGACACAAAACCAGATCCTTCTCTTCCCCTAGCCCACAGGCCCACGTCTGGCCCAGTCCCTGCCACGTGCCCACAGCACTGCTCTGGCAGGGGAGGCTCATGGTCGGGACCCCCTACTCACTCTGAGCAAGCAGCTTGGCCACCATGTCCTGACTGCCCGCCTGGGCCTCCTGGGTCCTGCTGGCGAGGCGACGGTTGGCAGATTCCAATCTCTCTGTTTTAAATGAAGGAAAGATGTTTTAGAGCTGGAAGATGCTGCCCACCTGGGTTTCCCCTGGGGCCCCATGGACTGCATCCTCTTAGCGAGGCAGGAGCCCCTAGGAATGCGCCATGTCCCACTCAGGGCCCGGGAAGCAGGTGGAGGGTTCCAGAAGGGACTCCATGGTCTAGCCCACCGACAAGCCCCTCTGAGTCCTGGGTCCTTCTGAGTCAATATGCTTTTTTTTTTTTTTTCCAGATTCTCAAAAATTTCCCCCATACAGATGAACCAAGCCCTCTCTCAACAGGTGCTCCCCCAAAGGCAGTCACCTCTCAGGTCCCGGTTGAAGTCCTGCAGCCTCCTCATTTCGCTGTCCATCTTGTTGCGCATGGTCTTCTCCAGGGCCTCCCGCTTGGAGGAGGCCCTGGTCAGGCTCTCGTGGGCTTCGGACAGCCTCTGGATTTCACTCTCCAGCTGGAAGAGGCAGACAGCAGAGCTCAAGTGAAGTGGCCACGCCAGAGGCAGGACCTCTTCCCCCACCAACCCCTGGCCAGCCACTGCTCTCCCTCAGAGCAGGGGGTCAGAGAAGGTAAGAGGCAGGAGCCAAAGCTCCAGTGGGACGGTCGGAATCTTCTGGTCTCTGAGGTGCCCTGGATTGCTGTTCGCACAGCTTGGAGGGCCCAAGGACGTGACAGATGCTGGGTGAACCCAGGGCCAACACTGTGTGCCCAGTATCCAGAGAGAAGCATTTCACTTCTGCTGGCCTCCACTGGGACATCCGAACATGTGGGTCAGTGGTAGGCCTGGACTCCAGCCATGTTGGGCTGCTCTGACAGATCTGACATAGCAGGAGAGAGGCCATCCTGCTTGCAACTGGTCAACCTTCACCAATACCCAGGAGTCACCTCCAGGGCCCCAGTGCCTCTGCCTGGGGGACTGTGTGTCTCTCCCAGCTGTCACCAAGCACCCTACACAGCCAGTCCCTCCACCCACTAGCTGCCCCTCACACTTGGCTGCCAGGAACTTGTGCGCGTGCTGCCAGCCAGCCTGCTACCTAACAAGTCGCTAGTCTTTTTTTTCCTCACGAGGAGGGATTTTCTCTTTGGCTAGGGCTGGTCTGGAACAGACGGCCTGTTGTGTGGGGGGACACAAAGGGCTCTCTATGGGAGGTGTCTGCAGGAGGGGCTGTGCTGGGCCAGGGTGCCCGTGTGCAGGGGGCAATGAAAGGGCTCTTTCTCATCACCCAGGGCTGTTCCGCAGCTGTCTGGAGTCAGCGCGGAGGGCCAGGAGGGGCTGGGGGCAAACAGTAGAGAAATCCAGCCTTCCCTTGGGCTGCTCAGGCCCCAGCCAGCCCCACCTCCCGTGGCAGGGCCTACCTTCTCAATCCGGGCAGCCTTCTCAGCCGAGTTCTCCAACTCTCGCTGCAGCTGCTCGTTGTCCCTCTGCAGCCTGGCATTCTCTCGCAACACACTCTCCATCTGGGCCAGGTGGGCGCTTCCCGAGGAGGCCTGGGCACTTGGCGGCCCCTCCAGCCCGCCAGGGGGGCCATGGCTGAGAGTGGTGAGGTGTGGGGGCGGGGTGTGCTCCTGGGCCTGCTGTAGGTACTGGTACTGCTGCTGGAGGAACACGGGCGGTACCTGGGCCTGCAGGATCCTGGGTGACACAAGAGGTGGTGCTCAGAGCTCACCCGAGACAGAGCAGTATCTGACAAACAGGGGCCACTTCCATCTGCGCTCCTCACAGTGGGCACTCCTCTGTCACTGCTCCCAGGGTCCCCAGCCTCCCTGGGGGCTGGCCCTCCAGGCTGGCACAGCACTGGGCAGACACACACACCCCCACGCAGCGGCCCCTCTGCCACCTCCCCGGTGGTATGGGGCTTCTGCTTAGTCTCTGGGTAACATTCCCGCCCCCAGGAGTTCTGTGGAAGCCGTGCCACTCCTGGACTATGCAGAGGTTGGGGACAGTGTGACTGGCTTCTGACACTGGTGTCCGTATCAGCCTCAGGACCGAAGGGAGCAAGGACCAAGGAGCCAGGGAACCTTGCTAGGGCCAGGTGACTTCCAAGGGGCAGGCATAGTGTCTCTGGAGCCCAAGGGATTGCCTAAAGTTGCAGCAGCCCCGCAAAAACTGAAGTCCACATCTGGGTCCCTCCCCCCACCTTACAGGGGGCCCTCCCCCCACTCCCCTGGTCTTCCCAAAGACTAGAAAAGTCCTTGGCCCTAGTTGTCAACAAACGACCCACATCGCATTAGCCCAAAGGAGAGGCCGGACTGGGGAGCTGCTCCCTATCCCCAAGGCTGGGCTTCCGGGGGGATCTGGGCAGAGCGTGTCCCCTGGGACATTGTGGCCAGGCAGGCTTGGTGTAACTGAAGCTCTCGCTCCCTCTGCACAGGGCCAGGCATTCCTCAGGGATGACTTGGCTGGGGAGGGGGCAGGCGTGGAGGAAGAAGAGCCTCTGCCGCCCTTCACACTCGCTTTCCCTTCCGCTCGGCGTCCCCTCCCCCTCCCTTTGTGTTCTGCGGCATGCAGGCCACTTCCTGGCGGCAATATTATCTTTTCCTGACAGGGTTCAAGAAGGCTGCTTCCAAAAGCAGAAACCTCGGACTCAGCTTCCTGACTCTTCCTGACCGAGCCTTGAGAAGGGAGATAAGGGGGAGGATTCTGGGGCGGGGGGAGAGGGGCTGCCAGTCTCCCCCAAGTGAGGAGGCACCCTCGGCTGCTTGCTCAGGAAACCCAAGCAGTGGGAAAGTGGGTGACTCGGCAAGCGCCAGAAGGACCTGATCTCTGACCTAGAGCTACCCAAGCCTGCCAATCCTTGGGCCCTGAGGAGGGGTCTCCGGGTGCTGGCGGTGGGTAGGGAGCATGGCAGCATCTCAGCAGGTGCCACAGCCTCCTTCCTGCCAAGGCCCCAGACTCCCTGCCTCCTTCTGACCGCCCACAGCTTCCTCGCTGGTCCCTTCCCGGCTATTCTCTAGATGAAGCCAGAGGGGATGTCTTCAAAGACAGTTAAATCATTCCGTTCAGGGCCCCCAGAGTCCCGGCCCTGGCCCAGCAGCCTCCCCTAACCTGCGCAGAAAGGGCCCAACTACAGCCAGAAAACCAACAGCGGAGACAGGTGGCTAAGGACACCAACCTGCCCGGTCCTCCTGGCTTCCGGTCAGTAGTGACAACCAATTAGCATGCTGAGCAAGCCCAGCTGTCCACGTCTTCCTAAAAGGCCTTCAGGAAAGAGGACGCCCTTTCTTCCTACTTCACTTGCCAACAGTTTGGCAAGGACTCCTGCCCTTTGTCCTCAGGAAGTTCTTTCTGAAATCCAACCTTTCACCCCCATCCCCGGTCACGGCAAAGCTACAGCTCGGTGCACCACCGAGTGTCCACTCAGTGTCCAGATGCAAGTCAAGCCAGGAATGCCACTAATCCCTCTGCGACCTTTGCTAGGCCCTCTCTCCTGCAAGCCACCAGCCCTCTCCACTCTGGAAGGAAGGAGGTGAAGGGGTGAGAGGGGCTGGTGCCAGTTCAGGTGCTGTCCCATCTCCCCAGGGGACACTGCGAGATAGCCCAGGGTTGGACAGTCACGTGGGAGCAGTTACCTGACTTCGGCGTGCTGCAGGTGTGGGCTGCCACGGGCGCGGTATCGAGGCTCAGCCACGGCAGTGGCAGTCTCGTGAGCTAACACGACGTGGTGCGGGTACTGAGGGGGAGGCCCGCGGGGCTCGGGGCCCTCAGGAAGGGGGGCCCTGGCTGGGATCCCCTGCTGGCTGCGGGCCAGCTGCGGGAAGCTGTGCGAGGAGCTCATGTGGCTGGGGACGCGGGCACCGTTCCTCTCCAGCGACAGCTGCAGGAGCCGTTCACTCAGCGAGCGCACATGACCGTGCCTCAGCTCCCGCAGGGCCTCATCCTGCCGCCTGCCGCCTCCTGGGGCACCGCGGGGATCCCGGGGCGCTGCCTGCTGGGCCGCGTAGTACTGTGAATGGGCCTTGGCCTCTTCATAGGTGGGCAACTCCTCGCCCTTGCTGGGCTGTGGGCACAGCCGGTGGAGGGTGCTCTCCGCCAGGTGGCTCTCACCACCCTGATGCTCCTGGCCCTGAGGCTCCTGCCTCGTGGCCTGTTGCAGCACCTGACTGTCCTCAGGTGCCAAGATGTCCAGGGAAGCCTGGGGGCTCCCCGGGCCTCCAGCCCCGGCCCCACCCCTCAGGGCCTGCTGCTGGATGGCCAGCAGCGTGCGCGTCTCCGTCAGGTTGCCGTAGCGCAGCTGCTCCTGGATGAGGCGGTGCAGAACTGTCCCGGAGGAGTCTTCGAGTGTCCTCATGATTCTGTGGCTTGCACACGCCTGCCTGGACGAAGGCCAGTGGCACCTGGCTCCGGAGCACCTGGCAAGGAGAGAAGAGAGCCATCAGCGGAAGCGCGCGGGACAAGGGAGCACTTTCCGCTGCAGTTGCCTGAAGAAAGCATGTGGATTAAGAGCCGGGAGAGGCTGTTCCCGTAAGCTTAGCTTCAAGTATGGCAGACAATGCAAAGCACATTGCTTCATGAGCCTGAGCATTACAGAGTGCTGATTCGAGTTCGCCTCAGATCCCTGGCAAAGGTTCACCATTCCAAAGAAAAAGGCAGTAGTACCCTAGGAGGTAACCGCCAGGAACCACAACGCCCTCCATCAGGCCACCCGAATCGACCGGCCTGGGGAACCACTCCAGGGCAGCTAAGCACTTAGCTGGCCAGTGAGCAGGGAGACAGGGCCCAGTGGACCAGCGGGCAAGAAACGGCTCGCAGAGCTCTCTCTGAGTCAGTGAGTCCACGTTCAGTCCAGCTAGGCACCTGCCACCCCACACTTCGCTAAGCCCCTGAATCAAAGCCCGGGCGCTGCTTCGCCACGCGCTGCTGACGACAGCAGAAGGGAACTGGAGTCACAGAGTGACCTTGGCAGCTATTCTGCAAGGTGAACAGGAAGAAGCAGCAGTGGCATCTGCATTGGGGAGCAGGGATAAGTGAGACAAAAGGGTGTCGCCCATCTAGGACAGTGGCCTATCACCTGGTCCCTGTGTGCTGACGAAATACTGCCAGGGAGCAACAGCAAGAAAGGATGGACCGAAGCCTTTGCTTTTATGATTATTCTCACACACCTGCTACTTGGAAAGGCCTCCACGGGCCCTCTAGGCACACACCCCGGATGAGTGCTCTGCACCCTTTGCCACCCCAGGAGCAGCTTCTCGGGCTACCTGGGATGGAGGTGCGAGCCTCAAAGGCGGAGACAATGTCCTGAGAAAGGGGCTGCCTTGGAAACCTGGAATGCTGCCCACTTCCCTCACCCAGCTTCCTTTCCAAGGCCTTCTCAGACACAAACCTCCAAACCGGGGCTCAGACAAGAAACGCTGACGGCCACACCACCGGCTCCCGCGTCCTACCTGGGGTTCGGCCTCGGCACGGTGGCAGAGCAACCATCCCGGAGCCACACCCCCAAGCCCAGGCCTGCAGCTCTCCTGAGCTGGGAGTGCGGGGTGCGGCCGGTGGCCATCTGGTCGCCCAGCCTCCACGGCATTCAGTCCCAGAGGGAATAAACCAGCCAGGCAGGACTCAGTTCCACACGGATTTCATCTGCGGACATTCCCTGAGTTAATCACCGTCTGGGCGGACTCTGCCGGGGCGGCCCCACAGCGGCGGGAAGGAATGTAGAGCCTTTGCGATGGATTCCTGGCGCGCCAAGCATGCGCCGGCTCGGGCGCGGAGAGAGCCACCGTGCCGAGGCAGGCCCGTCGAGGCCCCCACAGGCACACACGCCCCCTTCGGATCCTACCCGGCCGCGCCGTGAAAACCTGCCATCGCCGCGCCCTCGGTGCCCTCCGCTGTGCCAGCACTCTCGGAAAGCCGCTTTTCCGAGCGCGCATCGGCGCCCTCGGCCCGGGTTAATGCCCGCCCGAGAAGTCAAAGCTGGAGGCGGGTGTCCGTCACCAATGGCCCCGGGCCGAGGCTGCCAGGGCTGCCGGGCCGGAGGGGAACCTGGCCCGGCCCAGAGAGGTCTTTAAGCGTCGCGGGTCCGCCTCCCTCCCCCCTCCCGAGCCCTCTTTGTTTTCCAAATACTCCAGCGCTGACGTCACCGGCTGGACAGCAGACTGCATTCTTTCTAAGTGAGAGCCAGATCGTGGCTCCAGAGAGGATTTTCCAAGGAAGACAAAGAGGAATTCTTGGGCTGATTGGAGGCAGAGACACCTGTAACCCCCACCTAACTACATAAGCACCCAGGCCCCTGCACCTGGAACTCGGAGCGGTTCCTGCAGCCAGGACCCGTCTCGTCCGAGCCCACCACCCCAAACACGAACCCTGCCCTGTCCGCCGGCTGCCTTCTCCCCCAGCCCCGGAAACCTGTGCGCCTAGGAGCGCTTCCCTGCCCCTACTCCCACCCTCTGTCGGAGCGCACAGCGCGGCGCGGCGCGAGGAGCAGCTCTCGCCCGGCACGGGGGTACGCAGCACCCCGAGGACTCCCGGCGAGCTCCACTCCCGGAAAAAGCCGGGCTGCTCGGACCGTGGCGGCCTTCCTTACCGCTGCGGCTCGCGGGCGCCTGGCGCAGTCCGATCCCACGACCCGGCCCCGCTCGGCTCGGCCCGGCCCGGCTGGCGGAGGTGTGCACTCGGCGGCGGCGCCGACGTTCTGGCCGCTCCGGCTGCAGCGCGCAGCCTCAGGGTCGGCCCGCGCTGGAGGCGGCTGCTATGCCAGGAATGTGAGGGTTTCAGGTTCCCCCTCGGGATCAAAGCGAACCACAAATAACCTCTCGGCGCGCCGCCCTCCTCCGCCCTCCGCCTCCTGCCGCTCCCTCCCCGCGGCCCCCGCCTTCCTCCGGGGAGGCGGCGCTGCGGGCTGCACGCAGGGCCGGCCCGGGAGCCCGGTTCTCCGGCCGCGCTGGGTCCCCTCCTCCCGCTCTGCCGTCGGAACCCGGGAGCACCATTTCACGGCGCTGGGCCCAAGACCGTCCCCTACCCCTTCCCCGATCGCTGCCTAGCTCTCACCCTTCATCCTTCAACCTGCCCGCGGCGCGACAGTCGGGCACACGCCGCGCGTCGCGGGGCTGGCTGCGGGTGGGCGCTCCGGCGGGGGCATGCGTGCCAGGGATGGCTGCGGTGGGAGCAAGATCGGTGCTTCCCGCCGCCGAGGCTCTTGCTCTAAGCTCCACTGTCCTCGCCCCCTTGGCGACCTTTAAATTGCACTTTTCTAGTTTACAAACACCTTCCCCAGCACTTGGAGAACCCGTTTTTCACAGGAAGTATATCCTGGGCTGAAAACCCTAATACACTTGACCCACCTCCCGCAGGTGACTCAAAGCCATCCGGGGCTCGCGGCGTCCTCCCCCAGGTGGTGATCCGTGGCCCTCGATGCCAAGCCGGCGAGAGGGTCACTCTGTTCTTCACCTCGTCCTGCCTGTCACCCTGAGCTCCCCTCTCCTCGCTCCCAACGTCTGCACCTCTGCTGCCGGCCACTCAGCTTTTCCTCTCGGTGGGTCGGTCCGGGCTCTGCCTAGGGAAAGCTTCTCTGACACATCCTGCCTCATGCCCTCTGACTCGCAGCCATATTTTGGAGCCCTGACCTAACCCTGGGACCCTCAACACTTGTGTGTATATGGGGGGGGGGGTGTGTGCAGGCCCAGACCGGGGGGAGGGGTTCAGCACAGACCTTTGCAAGCTCAATAGCCACGGACAGGATCATTAAAAAAAATTTTTTTATTATTTATTTAAAAGGCAAGATTACAGAGCGGGGCAAAGGCAGAGTGAGAGTGATCTTTCATCTGCTGGTTCGCTCCCCAAATGGCTACCACTGCTGGAGCTGGGCCAGTAAGAAGCCAGGAGCCAAGAACTTTTTCCAGGTCTCCCACGTGCATTCAGGGGCCCAAAGTCTTGGGCTATGCTCTGCTGCCTTCCAGGACATTGTCAGGGAGCTGAATCAGAAGTGGAGCAGCTGGGACCAGAACATGTGGCACACAGTGCCAGCCGCAACAGGTTGACTTTTTAATAAAGCCCCCTCCTCCCGATTTTGTGTATGTGTATGTGCGTGACTTACTCGGAAGCCAAATGGGATTAGATCTGAGACAAACTAGAAAGAAAGGACAATTGGTGTCAAGGTGCTGGCTCTTTGGTCATCCCAGCACAACCTTGGCAAGAGAAGCCTCGGGCAGAATGCACCCCTGTGCCCACCAACTACATGCAGGAGGTAGGAATTTTAGAATTGGAGTGGAAGAGACAAGAGCTCCTCAGGGTGGTCCTGCGTGGATCACATTCTCTTTGGAAACAGTGGAGGCACGAGAGTGGGTGTGGGCAGGTATGCGCTGGGGTTGCACAAGCAGGGGAAAGGCCACACAGCACCACCTGTCTCTCAGGTGCCTTCAGAGGGATGCATTGTTGAGGTGGGTGCAGAAAGGAACAGGCCAGTGCATCCTGAAGCAGGTGGAGACTCCTGCAGCCCCGGTGCTCACCTCCCTCCATCCTGCGGTGGCACAGGCTCTAACGCCTGCATGGGGCAAACTTCCTGCATCTGTTCTTTGTAATCCATTTATGTCACACACACACAAAATTGTTTCAAAAGAGTTCTTTATTTGAAAGGCAAGATTTACAGAGAGAGAAACAGAAAGATCTTCCATCCGCTGGTTCACTCCCCAAATGCTACAACAGTTGCAGGTGGGTCAGTCCAAAACCAGGAGCCAGGAGCGTCTTCTGGGCCTCCCCTGTGGGTGCAGCATACACTTGAACTATCCTCTGCTTTCATAGGCACATTAACAGGGAACTGGCTTCCAAGTGGGGCAACTGGGACTTTGAATTGACACCCATGTAGAATGATGGTGCCACAGGCAGCAACTTTACCCCTATGCCATAGTGCTAGCCCCTAAACTTGTTCTACTTTTTCCTTGCTGTCTTAAGGATGGAGGCTAGGATCTCCCACCACAGGTGCAGGGTCCCAAGGCTTTGGACCATTCTCTACTGCTTTCCCAGGCCACAAGCAGGGAGCTGGATGGGACATGGAGCAGTCAGGACACCAGCTGGCACCCATATAGGATCTGGCACTTGCGAAGCGAGGATTTAACCACTGCACCATTGTGCGGGGCCCTCAGGGACTCTAAGACATAACCTGCCTGAGCCAGCAGCATCCCAACTGTGTAGGAGAGTCACATGAGAGCGTGATCATGGCTCCGATGTGGCAGCGGCAGGTGGGCACAGGTGGCTATTGGGTTGGCCAGTCTGCTTGCACACGGCTCCTCGTTTCCAGCTGGGGAAGGGTGAGCCGGTGCTTTCCTCACACTGCCTTTGGCTCCCTCCCCCTGCAGGTAATGATTCTTCCCAGGGACTATGTGGCTGGCTCGGTCTGGCATGCTGC